ATTTGTCTGTAGGCAAATACTCTCCTGAGAACCTGCGCAAATATTTGTCTGTAGGCAAATACTTTATCGAGAACCTGCGCAAATACTATTGTATTTGTCCTGACAAATATTTTGAAAAAAACAGCTGGTACTGCGGGGAGAGTCGGAGGGAGAGACTAGCCGCATGTCATGCATGCGATGGGAGATTGGTCTCGGAAATACAGAAGCCCATCGCTGAAGCGTGCATCTGAAATATCCGTTGATCGGGGTGGAAAAAAACAGGATCAATCTACAACAGCCACGCACGGCCACACTCGCCGACGCCACAACCCCTCCACCATCTCACTCATTCCGTATCGTTGGATGATGAGTCAACTCCTGTGGCAAAAAACAAGAAAAATCAAGGGCCCAAAAACACCAATTGATATTTATTTGCGGCTGCAAATACACCGGGCTCAACGGTCTCATTTGTGCATACGTACTTACTTGTAGGCCGAAGAGGTCAATATCTCCGCATGCGCAAATACATTTGTCTGCAGGCAAATACTTTCTTGAGAACCTGCGTAAATATTTGTCTGCAGGCAAATACTTCCTTGAGAACCTGCACAAATATTTGCCTGTAGGCAAATACTTCCTTGAGAACCTGCGCAAATATTTGCCTGCAGGCAAATGCTTTCTTGAGAACCTGCGCAAATATTTGCCTGCAGGCAAATACTTTCTTGAGAACCTACGCAAATATTTGTCTGCAGGCAAATACTCTCCTGAGAACCTGCACAAATATTTGCCTGCAGGCAAATACTCTCCTGAGAACCTGCGCAAATATTTGTCTGGAGGCAAATACTGCCCTGGACAAATACACGCAACTATTATTTGTATTTGTTATTTGTATTTGTACAGGGTGTGGTAGTATTACACCTGGCGTGTTTAGGTTTGGAGCTTTGTGGCGGGAAAACTTGACGCGCTCGCCACCCGACCTGCTGCCCTCGGCTGTGTGCTGTGCATGCAAGTACCAAACACTCCTACCGGTGATTGTGTGTCGATTGGAGTCTTTGAGGGCGACATGCAGCTGGCGGGGTATTCAAAGGCTATGTACCCACACCAGTGCGGCAGAGGTTGGGGAGGCAGCTGCTAATTTTAACTTCCCCTCCACCAACCACAGCTGCACCAACTACTTGCATGCTACCTGCAATACCCCTAATTGGTTTGCGCTAGGCCCACAAGAACGGCTGACGTGTACGGTATGCCTCAATGGTCGATGCTGTCAATCATTTGCGAAGTGTGCCGGCCTTTAGGGTAGGTCTTAACGAAGAAATCAGATTACGAAATCACATTCAGATTTGGTTATAAGACCGGAATATCCTAAGAACTCTCTTGTTGATTGGCTGAAAAGTTATGGAACCCGTCGAATCTTTAGGGCTTAAAACAAGACGACCCAAAACCAAATCGGGATTTGAAAAAAGGTGAAATGATTTAATCGGATCCCGATTTGGGTGAGCCGCAACCAAAGTTGCGGGACCACGGTCTACTCGCATGCACGGCGCGTGCCCACCTACCCCCATCCGCACGAACTCCATCCACCGCCGAGCACAGAGGAGAGAGAGAGCACAAAAAGCCAACCCAAAGGGAGGGTGACTGCGCATCGTTGTTGCACGTGACTGGCGCCGAAAAAAAACGTGTGTGGGATGTGTTGGTCTGTGGGGCAATCTCCCATGGGTTGTCGAACCTCAAATGCTCAGACGAATTGGTGGCTTTCCGTCGGACGAGGCTCTATTCAAAGTCTCACATACATACCGTATACGACACAAGATATCACACCCACGTAAGATAAGACACCCCCCACAGAATACCACACCCGGTACTAATATTTTTTTATCTCAAACGAAGAGCCAAAATACCACCCGGGTTACATAAGATAATACACCCCCAGAGGTAGGCCGCATGTAATCACGGAGCCCCCACTAATATCACCCCGGTGATGAACAAGCACCAGCGGTCGCTGATCACCCACAGGATGGCTCAACAGGGAGCACACCCAACACACCCTCTGGGTACGGGGCAACCGCCCCGGATGGAGACCTCCAGTGACATGAACGTGCAGGGAGAGCAGAATACCACTGCAGCTATATCTGCTCGTTCGGCAGCTGTTTCGACCGCAGCAGTGGCTCGCCCGATAACCTCCTTCCGTCAAGGCGAGCAAGGGTCTACACCTGCTGCTCCTCTCGCTGCTCCTGCTGCCGCTTCTGTAGCTGCGGCTGACAAAGCTGACACAGCAACGAGCGCCAAATGGGGCAGCCACCACGCTGGCTCAGCAGCCTGCTGCTGAATTACACGAAGGTGCTGATGATGCAGAAGAGTCTATGCGCACCAGTCAAGCCTCAGACGAGGACGAGGGGGACAGAAGCCCAGCGATGCCGTCCTTCTTACTTAGCGGTTAGACCCAGGGCGGGGGGTAATGAATGGAAGCTTGAGCTTCCGCCTCGCAGCGCATTGATCGTGGATTCTTAAATGCATGCAACTCAGCTTGTTTTCTTCCCCGCCTTCTCGGAATATTCTCTATGGTGCCAGGCGGTAGTGATATAATATATATATATTTGCATGGCAACGCATTCGCTGTAGTTGATGAGGGCGCTGTTGGCGTTCATCACCGGGATCATGTGATCAGGAGGTGTACCTCGTCCCCGGTTATCACCCCTGCCCACGTAGCACACGTACCAAATACGGTAGTTACTTGCGGGCAGTGGTATCACACCCGCTACACGTGCGGCAGCAGGCACCAGCACACCCCTTTCGTTTCCACACCCCTTCGGCGGCCCCCTAGTGTGCGGCAGTGGTATCACATCCCCTGAATATCAAACCTATGGTTATCACACCCTCTGGATATCACACCCCTTTGCTACCACACCCCTTTTCGGTCCCTGCAAGTGTATGGCAGGGCCCTGGATGTCACCCCCCCTTCATGGCTCCAACGGCCGCACTTTATCACCCGGGCTACATAAGATATCACATCCCCCACAGAATACACCTTTCCGGTGATAATGTTTTTATACGCCAAAATGTCATCCCCGGGGTGTGATTTCTTGTGTCGTATACGGTAGACATCGTGTCAGTACCGCACAGAGGCCATGTTACGCGTTTGGTGTGTGCTTCTCGGGAGCGATAGCTCCCCATGTGGTGTGGCCACGTCATAACAGTACGTCACAACAGCAATCTGGCGGTCGGCAAGCGGCGGACCTCTCGGTTTTTCGGGGTGGACTGCAGAGATTCGTTTCCATTTGGCAGATCTCCCAGGAAGACAAACAGGCCATTTCTGTCCGGATTTCGGTAGATCCGACTCTTTTATCCTTATATCGAAATGTGATTTCTTCGTCAAGACCTACCCTTATCATGGAAGAAGCGCGTGACTGAACGTGTAGGTTGCGCAGGAAATTGTTTTTGGGGGGGACTCTATTTTCTAGATAAAAAATATCGAGGGTACGCCATTTTCTAGTGAAACGACGGTCGACGACGACCAAATCTGTCTGTAATATAATTAAAATGATTTCATCACTGCTTTTTTTCTGTTCCGTCAATCTAGGCGACCGCTATCAATTCCACCCTGTGCCCTCTCGCTCATCGCGAACGGCTTCACGTCTTCATCGCGTCTCCATACACGGTCCCTTGTTGCCACTCCTGACAACGTGTCTTCCTTCTTCTTATTCTTAACTTCCTCCCAAACCCTCGCCGTCACCCATCTCGGTGTGGCCACCCGCCCCATTGGGGGGCGGGGGGTCAATCCTTAAGCCTACTACTGTAAGTACATGCATATTCGTGAGGCTCACTCGCGACGTCTGGGGTATGACACATTTCTCCAGCCGCGCATGGCATGGCATAGTGTGCATGCTACTGCCGTGTGTTTGTGCGTGTGTGAAGGAGCCGAGGGAGCCACATACACACGTGCAGTCGAGTTGACTAGCCTCTGTAGTGGGGCCAGCCCACAATAGCAGCGGGCGGTCTCTAACAAAGAGGGTAGACTAACCCTTTTAGACTACAAATACAGCTGGTCGAGCACGTGGCAACCGATTTCGACCCTCTTGTAACGGAAACGTTCTGACTCGGTTCCCTCTTTAACGGTACCACGATTGTGCGTGGACAAGGTGAAGATCTGCCGATAATGGGAACCGCGCGCTCTTCAGCGCCAGGTTGGCCTGTGTGTAGTTGATGTTCACGCATGGATATGGCTCTTGGTGTTGGTAAGTTTCGCCGCCCAATCTGTCCGCCAGACTTGCACGCAACGCGCAAAGCTAGAGAAGATCGCGACGACGTGGCCTTTTCTGAAAAGAGCACAACAGCAGTACTAGGCCCTCTCTTTCGGGTAGGCACTTTGCGATGCGAATCAGACTATGCATACGCATCGGCACACAGCAGTATGTATGCGGTTGTTCCATGGTCCATGATTCAAAACGAGTTGAACTTGCCTACTTCAATCACCCGATCACCCGAAGAGGATTCACCAAGCATATTCTCGGGCACTGCGACATCACGCATGGCACCACGCCACACCGCACCGCACCGCACCGCACCTTATCGCCACCATCTCCGTCGCTGACGTGCATGCCGTGCTCGGTCTGGTACTGCGGGAGCTCGGTATCATACACGACCGAATCAAGGTACACATGATCGGCCGCCGGGTCGTCGTCGAGAACAACCAACGTGAGAGATTGCGTGCTGAGATCCACGCCGAGCCAGAGCGGCGGTAGAGAGTCCTCGGTGACCATGTCTCCGACTGAAAGAAGAGCTAAAGAGGCTGTGGCGGAAGATGACTGAACCAAGAACAAGTGCAGTGAACGGACCTGCAGCCTGCAGCTGACAACAGGCCGCATCAGGCACTAGGCGGGCCAATAGGGAGGTTCCGTGTATGGATGGGCATACCCTGAGTTTGTCCCCCTGCCGAAGGCAACAAGGTCCAGCCAGGTTTGGAGTTTTGTTGAGCAGAGAGAGACAAAGACAAAGACAGACACAGAGACAGAGACAGAGAGCCGACAATGGGCTTGCTAGATGGCTTGTTCGGGCCGGAAGGGGGAGAGGATGGCAGTAAGGCTGGGGATACCCTTGGTGGCTCAGATGCAACCGCCAAGGAGCTGGCAGCCGGAGGTGAGGCGTACGAAGCTCGGCGGAGTCAATGCCACATGCGGCGGTACCCAGAGCTCTATAGATGATGGGGGTGTATTTGATGGGATGTTCGTTGACCTACTGCCATCTCTGTCGTGTACGAGAGTATCCGTACCCCCGGTGTACTTCTGGCATTGTGGTTTTGGTTTTGTGGAGTGCTTGGGAAGCGAGACAGACGCTGCAGCGAGCGGTTGCGGCGGAGTCGACAGCTCAGGAGGGCCGCCGTGCTTGTTCTGTGGCTCGTACCTGCAGCAGCAAAGAAAGCATTACCGCCGTAGGCTGAAGCACCAGAGCTACCCTTCCACTCTCCCACATGCGCATGGTAGGTCCTCGCTTCCCAAGCTTCCCCTACTGAGTGCGTTGACACCACATTGCGGGACGATGCGGTTGCTGTACCCAACCGGCGTCCTGCGGTTACCGTACGGCGAAAACCGAACCCTCCTCTTGCCGTTGCTGTTGTCACGGCAACCGGTCGGCGTCGCCTTTGAGAATGTACGAACGAGGTACATGTACTGCCATCATTCCACGCACAATGCTAGCCGAGATTGTGATGCGATTTGGTGGCATTCTTTGACGAACAAGCGTATGTACAAGCCGTTGTGCTTCACATTTCAAGACATGCCGCCGCAGCGACGCATTCGAGCCGCAAGTATTGTTATAGGCTTTCCCTGACCTGACAGCACCGACTCTCATGCACGGGTGACACTACATACACGTAGCTCTTGGCCCGATTTCCCTTTGTGGTGCTCCTGCTCTACATGTACCACGCGGCCGCAGGTGTGTAATGTAGGATATCTGCTCACGTGTGATTATACAGGAGACAAAAGTGTTTCCTCCAGTCGTACGTACGCGTATCTCGCCTTTCGAAAAGAGACGCCCACAGCAGTTCATCGAAGGAGAGAAAGACAGAAAGACCTCCCGTACAGCAGTACACCTCAACCGGGAGGCACCTCCAAAGAGACCTCAAAGAGTCCTTGAATGGTAGCTTCTGTCCCCAAAGTTACGTGCCGTGGAGCGTTTCCACCACCACCAGCTATTCGTTTCGATCCGCGCTGGTATGGTTGCTCTCGTGTTACTCACTGCTCGCATCGTCACCAGTGAGCGGCAGAATGCATACCGCAGCAGTAGATAGGGAGGAGTAATGAGCCGCGGGAAGACTGTACATCCTCTCCCGCTGGTATCAAGTGCTACACCAACGAACGGCGGAGGAAAATGCACATACGCCGTGACGCACGCGATGCTACGGTAGTATCGCCAAACGATCGGCCCCCAACATCACTGCCGCTGGCCAAAAATGAACAACAGTGGCAGACACGAAAACACTAGATAGAACCCATCGGGCAGCGCGATGTGGAAAGCCGGTGGAAAGTGGCAGTAGCGCAGCAGTTCCAACAGAAACAGCACATTCTCTCGCATGGACCGTTTGTCAACATCTGTCTCTCTCATGTCTCGCTGTTGCTGGAGGTGGCGTCTTTTGTGTGCTTCCCTTATCCCCCTCCCTATTGTTGTCCAGCGAAAGACGCCCTCTGTCGTTCTGAGTCCTATGTGGTGACTGCGTCAATAGCACCAACCGCCTCAACTTCGCTCTCCCCTGTTGGTGTTGCTGTTGTAGGCAAAACGTCAATGGATCGTATTTTCACCCATAGATATTTCCAACGGCCACTAGAACCGCCAAGGCTAACCCTTTTGTTTATCCAGAGAGCGGACACCAGGTCTGTTTTTTAATCCTGTGCTTTTGCCTAGGGAAGGGGTTGGACCACGGATGGGTGTGATTCTGTGGATATGCGAGACTTGTCACCGGCGCGCTACCTCTTGGTTTGAATCGCTCGCGCTTGAGATCTCCGCTTTTGAAATCCTGCTTTCCTTGCTGAACTCCAAGAGACAGGGCAAGCTATCTCCGATGGATTTTGGGCATGAACGCCTGTGTAACACGGCCATCTCTCGCCAATGCACGACCGAGAACCAGTGTGACGAAGGGTGCACTGTTTTTCTTTCTCCTCACAAACCAACAGATCGTACGTCGGTGCCCGATAGCTCTCGTTGTGATCGAAAAGGAGGGTTGTAAAGACCCCCCGGAAATCAAACAGGCCGATACTTCAAGAGCCTGTTTTTTTCCTCCTGGGACGGAGGGAAAATAACGGTCGCTGTTCGCGGATCCGCGGCTAATTGTTAGTATTCACGGAGCCTACAGCAGTACTTGAAGTACGTAAGAAGACGCGAGCGTTCAGCATGACCTTGAATCTAGGCGTCGCCGCGTCTCTGCGCATTCTGCTTTCGCTCTCCCTAGATAGCCCTGATCACCTCCTACTCGGGCCACGGGGGCGTTCGAAACGCCACACTCCGCTACCGCCCACACATTTGCCGTGCTGTGACGCTCGTCACGCAACCACCCGCTGCCAAAGCTGAGGTTCCGCGTACACTCGTGTGTTTCTCCTGCTCTCCGTTGGATGCACATCGGTATGCCTCCCTGCTCTGTCTCCAACCTCGTAGATGTTGCTATCTCTGCTCCAACCCTTGCTGCCACACCCTACGTCGCGTTGGCACGGCCCTTGTCGTACGGACGACTGCAAGCTACATGTGGCGCGTACCATGTTTACCGCTAACACGTCGGTCGATCGATCGATTTGTTCCACCAGGCCCTCCGCTAGCGAGGGACACCCCGCCGCCGCAAGACCCCGGTATCTACAGCCATGGAGGGGCGGGCTTCAATGCAGAGCCCATGGAGAGGTGAGTCAGTCCGAGCACAGGCGTGCATTCGTGCATACATGTGGCCGTGTGTTCCTCAACAAGGCTACATGACAAATTGGGCGTACCTGGACGAGTGGGAGAACGTTGTGTTTGGTAGTCAAGTCTGGTTGTCCTGTTGTCCTCCGTAAGGCCCACGTATTTCCCGATGGGAAGAACGACCAGAATTGCAGTGTTTCTCGTTTTGGGATTAGACTAGACGGATCTCATTGCTCTTGCATGGCACTGCCCCTGTGGCTGTCCGCATCATTTTGTTTCCCCGGATGCTTGAGTAATCGCGCTAGCCGAGTTTGTATGTTTCACGGTCTCTTTTCAGTGCAACCGGACACTTGCTGCTGCTCGTAGCCATTGGATGTTTTGCTTGGCGAACGGACTCGCTTGCGTGGTGGCCCGCTGGGGTTGGCTGCTTGGCTTCTGTGGTCGCTGGTATTGATTTTTTGTTGGAAGTCGATCGATTCGCCTTGCCTTGGCAAATATCTTTGGTCATGGCCGATTCTTCCCAACCTGCTTGGCCGTTGCAGAGCGGTGCAGCTGGCCTTCGAGCTGGGCAGGGAGCGCAACCCGTCCGTCTTGGCGCACGAGCGTCGCTCCAAGCTCACCAAGACAAGGGCGGAAGTTTCGGACAAGACCGGGGAATTCCACCACTGGGCCACGGAGGCCGACAAGCACATAGACCATAAGGTGAGGCTTGCTCCAGAAATGCCTCTGCTGGGTCTGCCAGTTGCCGATCGCTACCCTACCCTTTCGTAACGTCAATATTACGGATTTTGTGTACGGGTATGTACATGGCCCTTGGTATCTCCTCCGTGGGATGGGAATGCGGCCGTAATAATGCTGATGAGAGTTAGAGGTTAGCGGTGGGAGGATCGATGGGATGAGAAAAGGGCAGTTCGTGCGGTACTCGTGTACTGTTATGCAGCAGCCGAGCAGCAGCACACGGACGACCTTCGAGACGAGACATTCTTGTTTTTTTTTTTTATTGTCTTGACTTCAAGTAGGCGCTCGCAGCATTTGTGCCGTTTACTCCAACCCGTGGTAACACAGAAGTGTTTCCTCCCACCCTCCCCTCCTGCGGTATATGCTTTGCCTTCGACTTTTAATGCGAGAAGAGTGCAGCACTCTCTTCCCTTCGTGTACACACGAACTAGTGCTTTCCACCCAGGCCAGGAACGGAAGCGAGAGAAAAACTCACTTTGCAAGAAAGCTCGCGTTGGACAGCTATGTCGATGCATTCCCCCTAGCTGGAGGCACCTTGATTTTCACATCCGTCAACACTTGGTACGTGAGAGGAATGTCCCGAATTGACCCCCAAGAACCTCTCGTTGACCCGAGCACGACTGTTGCCAGCAGGTGTTGGTTCTGCTTTCGCCCTTTTTTTTTTGTGCCTGAGTTGTCCGCCTCGCCCCGCTTTGGGGGGTTGCCCGATCACTGTGCCACGCTGTGCGCCGCATCCCCCCCGCCGTAGGTGCGTGAGGAAGCAGCGCGGATGCGAGAGCTGAAGGACGAGCACAGCAGGGCCAGGGAGGAGTTCCGGGTGAGTACAGCGGGGGAGGGTCGTGCATGCCGTAGTCGTTAGACGATGGACCTCGCATCCCTACAAAGCCGGGCACGACAGCGTAGAGGAACCGAATGACTCATCTGTTTCGCGGGATCTCCGTGAGAGAATATTGTCAGAGAAGATCGATGTTTTGCTGTTCGTTTACCGTTGGTGCCCCCCATCTTCGTGGAGCAGTCGATGCGGCCTTGTTGTGTCTGCCACTAGTGGGTATCAGGTTTGAACGTGGCAGCAGCTGCTGTAAGGGTAAGGCCTTCAGTGTTCAGCACGGTATGCTTGTAAATACCTTTTCGGTTATGTCATTCCGCCCGTTCTTACTACCGTGTGTATTGCTGTCATGTACAGTGCCGATGTTATTTACTGACCGGTAGCTTTGGACCCCCCCCCCCCCACCCCCCATTCTTGGTGCGTGCACACGGTACAGGATCGTCTGAAGCGTCAGCGAGCGGTCGACAAGATGCAGCTTGCCAAGCTAGAGCGAGAAAAGCAACAGGAGATGGAACAGGTAACAACAACAACAACAACGGCAGCCAGCAAACAGCACGAACACCTGTGTGGGCGTGCCTGTGTGTTTGTTCACGCGTGTACGTACTTCTTTTGACAAGCATCGAGTGCGCTTACCTCCTGACGAGTGAAAGCGCGCCAGTCTTGAAGGAACAAAAGATCTCTCTTCTGTATGTCGTTGGGCAGTTTGGTATTCCCCCCTCAAATCTGCTGACGCACGAAAACACGTCGGTCCGTAGCGGGACACGTGACACATGACACATGTAGGCCGCATATGAGAATGCTGTGTTGGGTGTTGCGTTTTGCACGATAGGGACCTAAGCAAAGGTGTGTGTGTTGTTCAACCGTACATTGTGTGCACAAAGAAAAACAACGTTTTCGCGCACGGCTTTCGTACTGCCTTGGTTACCCTGATGACTGTTGGCGGTTATTGAGTCCACTTTTGCCGTGTGCCTCTTCGCGTTTCGTCGTTCTTCAGGAACTAGCGGCAAAACAAGAGCAGATCAGACGCGAGACGATCGAGCTGGAGGCACAGCTGCGGCAAAAGACCGAGCTGGAGCGTGTGAAGATGGAGACGGAGGGAAGGATTCTGGCAGAGAGAAAGAACCACGACCTTCGTCTCGAGCAGGTTAGAACCGGTAGAGCGTTGGGCGTAGTTTGATTTGTTTCGGTGGATTGATTTTGAAGACCGAGCGGAAGAACCATATCTTCTTAACGCGCCTTCACGCGTGGAGATTTGATATGGTGTGTGGATTATCCGGAAGGAGATCCGCGTAGAGCTGCAACAGGCACGACTATGTCGGCGTGATGCTCCCGGGTGGGTGGTGAAGTGGTGTTTCTGTACATCATGGGACGTATGGTATCTTCCGATACTATTCGGGAAAGGCGGTATGACGGAGAGAAAAAAGCACGAAGTCCACGCCCGAGCCTTTTGTGTAGCTCTCTTTTTACGAGTTGGTCGGAGCCTATGGTTGTGTCATGAACCAAGTCTTCTCTACAAACAATCACCACACGGTTCGGTTGGCCTGTTCCATTTTTCCGATGGCGCCACCTCATCCCGGCTCCAATGGCAGCCCAATGTGGTAACCTTAGTCGGAAAGAGATGATCCCAGACCAGATGTCAAGCGTATCCTAGCATACACCTGTAGCACCCGCATTTAAGAACGCCAAGTTTTGGGCGAGGTTGTGGGTCTTACAAGTACAATTGTTCCTCTTGTGGGCTACAAATTCCCGCTTTCGGGGTAAGGATTCTTGACGGAGCTCACAAATGGTGCTCGAGTTCTTAGGTTGTCAGGTATTTCAGGCTCAATTTTCTTTACTGCGGTACATTGCCAAGTGCTCAAGTACGGGCGCGAGCCGTTAATAAGCTAATTTCGTGTCTTGCGCATCACACTCTGCGTAGTAGCCCGCGCTTGCTGGACCAGTTTTCCCCCACAAACTCGATGCCTCTGCCCTCTTTTCAGTAAGAGTTAGCGACTTGTTCCGTGCGGAAAAAGATCGCTGACGTGTCTCTCCCCGAGACACAAGTTCGTGCTGTTGCGTGACCATGTCCTGTTGAATGCGCACGGGTCGGCGTCATCGATGACCCAGAGCGGAACGCCGCCGCCGCTGCCGCCATGCTGCACCTTGCCCGAAGGGAGTGAATGCCATCGGTCGCCGTTGCGTGAGACCCCCCATCTGCGTCCTCCCCTTCCAATCAGTAACGTTCTTTCCTTTTTATTTTCCCGTTGCAGGCGTGTCTCTATTAGGTTTAGGCCCGGCCGGTGATGCGCTCGGAAATTCACTTAACGTTAATCAAAAACCAAGGCGAAGCACTCATTGAGCACCTGCCTTCCCCTGAAACAAGCACACCCCGCATGTCCACGCGTTTGTTTGCTTCCTCCCTCCCGCCCTCCCTCTCTAACTCCTCTCGATACGCCGTCTTTCTCCTCGGCACGCGCGCGCCTTTTCTCGGGGTTTTGCAGAAGAGGCAGCAGGCCGCGGACACCCGGGAGACCGTCCTGTCTGGCCTCAAGCTCACCGGCGAAACGCTCGGACAGGGCATCGCGGAGTTCCTCGGCAACCGCCAGGAGATGACGGCGGTGGTGCTCGGTCTGTCGGCGGCGGCCCTTGGCATCTACTCGGCAAAGATGGGCACCGGAGTCATGGGCCGCTACGTCGAGGTGTGTCGGGGTCGCTTTTTCGTTTCCTTTTGCGTTTCTTAAGGCTCAAGGTGTGTGTTTGTGTGTTTGAGCGTTGAGTCGTGTGACGAAAAGGCGGCGCTGGATTGCGGTGACCATGTGTGTAGAACAGAGGTAGCGAATGGGCGACTGACAATATAATCGTGTTAGTACCAGCAATAACACTTTTGCGTTTCGTTGTATGTGCTGTACCGGAATGCCGCACGGTCATCGCATGCCTCTGTTTGGAACTGCCGAAGTTGTCTCGTTTGCTTTCTTGTCCTGCCGACGACTATTTTTTTCGGAGGACAATGTTTCACCTGTGACGCCGGATACGAGGGGCCTGAAAGAATCGAGCCGTTCGCTCTTGGTCAGCCTTCCGATGAATCGGACATCATCGCCTCTTCTCGTCGCTTCTCTGCCATGCCACTCGCTGCCATCGTAGTAAATAGCTGTTGTAGTCGCTATCTCGTTGTCGTGCGATGGGAGAGTGAGTGTTTCCGCGGTGTTGGGAGCCGTTTTTACTCCAATGCGGTTGTTTCGCCCGAAACCGGAATAGATGGGATGGAAACTTACACACACCCTTTTAGGTCATTAGACGCATCGGAGACTAACGCCTATTCCATGGTCAGTCGGTTAACGCGGTCCGCGCTAGTACTCAAGACAATCGCACACACGATGGACCGGTTCTCTCTACGCTGCCACTCCCACCTTCTCCGGAGTGTACTGTATTTCCTGCAGCTTGGACGAAGGCCCCCACGTGGCGCGTTCGGCTGCCGGCCTCTCTGCGAACATCGTTGCCTGATGATCAGCTGGGAAACAAAGAAACGAAAACCTCTTCCAACGAAACAGCTTCGTCTCGGCCTCCGGACGTCCGGCAGTGGTTTGGCGACTTCTCAGCTCTTTGCTTCCCTCTTCTTTTGGTTGTGTATGCTTTGCGTCATTGTCTTGCAGCACTCTCGCCTTCCTTGTCTGTTGTTGTGAATCGTTGACGTTGCTCCTGCTGCTGCTGCTGCTGCTGCTGCTGCTGTCGTTACCGTTCTCTTGTTGCGAAAAGGCGAGGCTCGGGCGACCGTCTCTCGTCCGAGAGACTTCACGTCGGTCTGCGGGGGAAATATTGAAACACCCACTGCAGGGGGCGAGACGGCTGTTCAAGTCTGTCAAGTGAGCACGAACATCGTTTGTCATACCTGCTTTCTCGCCAACCACAGATTATGGCTGAACTGGTTGGCTTTTTGCTTTTTTATGGGTCTCTCTCGTTTTCCCGTTGATGATACCTAGTACAAGTACCTGGTAAGTCTGAGAAGCTTTTTTTCTCCTGTAGACGTCTTTTAATGTCTTCCGGGTTTTTTTTGTTAATCCCCAGAGCCTACGGGAAAAGAGGGAGAGGGTCCTCCAGGAAAAGGAACGGCGTGCTCTGTTAAGTGCACCGAAGGCCTCTACTGCGTGGCAACAACAAGGTTGATGAGGGCTCTTTCCTTTGCAGTTCGAATACGATAACGTTGTTGCTCCGGGCCCCGTGTCAAGAGACCCCCGCCCCCCCTTCCCTCCGGCGAAAGTCCGCCTCACAAAGGTTTGACGCTACGATGCAACTCACCCTACATGCGACTGTTTAGACTATTTGCGCTTTGTTGAGCGCGAATCTCATCGTCAAAACACCGACTTTCTCGGTGCCGCTTCACAGGCACGCTAGAGTGTTTCCGAGCGCCCTCTCGCCCACTCCGTGCCCACACTATTTACCGCGAAACCTCACGTGCACTCGTGATTGCATGGGTGGTCCAGGCCCGGGGATGCGCTGGAGGGCGACGCCTCTTTGCCGAAGGCTATCTTCGTCCCGCAGATGGAGCAGCGGCTCCGAAGGGTGGCCGAGTCGTCGTCCAACACTCGCGCCAACCGTGCGCCTTTCCGCCACCTGCTCCTGCACGGTGAGCACACACGCTTACAGTCGCCGAGGCATTCTATTTACCGACTGTATCTGCACAGCCCCCAAGAGTTTTTTTTTGTATCATATTGACACTGTTCCTCCGCGATTTGGATGTCTTCATGATTGACGTGTGTGTGCATGTGTTCGAGGCGAGTTTGTTGTCCGTTAGTCGGGAAGCGTTAATCTCGGCTTGCGATGTTGCTGGGCCCCCGCCGGCAGCCGCCTTTGCCTTGTTGTTGGCTCGAGAGGGCTGCTTGTAGCACGCCACTGAGAGATAGGTAGCATGCGGCCTGGGTGTGATGAGATATCTTAGAGGAGGGTGAGTATGAGGACAAGCTGCCACCGCACTTGGACCGCTGCCGCAGTGGGCAGAAAGCTCAGGGTTGCATTGGACATCTTCGTACATGCTTCTAACAAGAAACGTTGGAACTGTAACAATGTACCGATATAACACACCATATCACGACGGGTCATCACCCCCCC